TCCAGCAAAATTCTATAAAAAAAGTGAAGAATTTCATTACATATGTGATCATGAAGAAGCGGATACGAGGATGATTTTTCATGCATATAAAGCGCCACCAGAGTCGAAAACTTTAATTAAGGCCTCTGGTACCGATGATCTGGTTATTTTGCTGGGAAATATTCACAAAATTCAGCTTTCTGAAATTTGGCTAGCCAATTCAGCGCCAAAAAAATAAAAATTATTAATATTTGGAGTGCATTAATTGCACTGAATTAGCGTTCAAGCTGGGATCCAAGTTATGCCTAAGTCTTCCAGCTTTCCATGCATTKACAGGATGTAATTATGCGACTGCATTCTACAATAAAGGAAAAGTGAAACCATATAAATTATTTTCCAAAAACGAAAAGTATCAGGCAGTTTTTTCATCATTGACAGATGAAGCTGATGTTTGCTATTAACGAAAAAAGGACACAGTTCAAGAGTTCACAGCTAATATGCATGGTATAAAAAACTGCAATAGGGTGAATGAAGCGAGATATCGAATGTTTGTGAAAAGTTATTCTTCAAAAGAAACCAACGAAAAATTCTTAAAAAAAATTAAAAGTTTTGACTCAAATACTATACCACCGTCCTGGATATCACTACAACAAAAAATTTTAAGAACAATTTTTGTCAATTCTATGTGGCTTCATGCAACGGAACCAGAATGTGTTAAACTACAGCCTGAAACCTGCGGTTGTTTTGTTAATTATTATCTTAAATCAACAGGATTCATTGAGGACCAAGCGCCTATAACAGTACAAGTAATTGCTGAAATGACAGAAAAAAAAAAATAGTGACGACGAATGTTCAGAACTTGCCAGTTTTTCTTCCGATGAATCAGATTTTGAATAATGTAAATTAATTTAAAAAAAATTGTAATTACAATCTTATTGTATGTAAATGGCACTGAATACGTTCCTCGGACCTCTTTTTCGCGCATTATGCACGTAACATTTGAATAATGTAAATTAATTAAAAATAAATTTTAATCACACGTATTCAGCCGCACGAATATTTTGTTTTTTAAAACTCGACAACCGGGATTCAGCACAAATTTTTCGCAGGCAACCTTGTATGATTATATTCGCAATAAAATTATCTTTATTTTGGTATAAGGTTTATCGCGTAAGTGGGCAGGTGCAAATCACTATTTTTAAGTTATGTGTCAGATGGAAGGATCGCAATGCGTGGAAGAAATCCAACCAGCAACTACTAAAGAAGTGGAAAATATAATTAAAAGTAGATTTAAACCAAGAAAAGCTCCCAGCTTCGACTTAGTGACAGCTGAAGTACTGAAAAATCTAACGCGGAAAGCATTAGAAAAACTTACATCGAATCTCAGATACGTTCCATTGCCATGGAAGGCATCTGAAATCATTATGATGCAAAAACCCGGGAAAAGCGCACAGGAAGCATCTTCATATCGTCTAATCTCACTGTTGCCTATTTTGTCCAAGCTACTTGAAGTTGTAATTAT